GCCAAGGGCTTAAGTGGAGAGCAAATATTTTGAGAATGATGAGGGCAATGAATGTACAAATGTGCTTTACACAATTGATGTATATATGGATTGTGATAAGAGTTTTATGAGTCCCTAATAAAATGACTAAAAAAAAATCTTCTCTACAGTTCTATTGGAAGACATCTTCTTTTTATTTATATATTATATATAATAAAAATATGTCTAGTTATATTTCTATTTTTCCCCTTAAATTCTCAGTGGTGGGTTGTTTTTTAAGTTCCTAGTGGTTTTTTGGGTTTTTTTAACAACTTAATTTAAGGTGACATATAAAGTCTTAGTAATTTTCAAAGCCTAACACTGCTGTTTTCATTTGCAGAGAAGGGAATTTGGCTACAAAGCAGGTGGTGTTCCTTCAGAGGCCAGTGATGTGGAATTCAGCCGCTCAGACACCAGAGGTAAGTGAACTTGATGTTTCACACCCTTACCTGCATTCCGAATGATAGCTGTAGGTGAGGAAAGATGCACTTGACATGGAAACTGTCTTCTGAACCCGACTGTGGGAAGGGCATGTGCCAGCGTCAGACCAGTCTAAACCCTGCGATAAACATGCTTAATCTTGCAACAGAGCTGTCTGATCTTGTCTGTCTTGATCTCTGACTTTTAAAAAAATCTTTCCTGCTTGTATTCACGTGTTCAACTCTTTATTGAAGGGCTACGGTGACACTCAGGTTACCTTATCCTTATTGGTTGTACAGGTAAAATGGTTTCACTGAAGGAAAAAAATCAGCGTATTAATAAAGCTTTGCTTTCAAAACAGGAAATTTGCAAGTGGACTTGAAAAATTCCGTAAAGTGACTTTTTTTTAATTGTATATCAAGAAAGTATTGTTTCAGAAAACATTGAGGCTTTCAATGCTGGTGAAGCTGGACGGGGAGTGCCTGTACTCTGGATAGGGAGGGAGGGAGGGAAGTGGACAGGATGGTGGGGAGGCAAGAGACCAGAGTGCACATTTATTGCTGATACATATATATTTACCTACATAAGAAACTGTTATGTCTACTCATATTTATATTTTCCCCTTTAAATTCTCAGTGGTAGGTTGTTTTTTTAAGTTCCTAGTGGTTTTGGGGTTTTTTTTAACTGAACTTAATTTAAGGTGACATATAAAGTCTTACTAATTTTGAAAGCCTGACTGAAAAACGCTGCCTTGGGGCCTTTAATTTTTTTTTTCAATTTTAATAAATGGCCATGATCTGAAGCATGACAGTTGCCATCTAGCCAATCCAACTCCCACTTGTGGTGATGTCAGGTGTGTCAGAGTAGACCTGTGCTCCATAGGGTTTTCAGTGGCTGGTTTTTCAAAAGTAGATCACCAGCCCTTTCTTCTGGGGCACCCCTGTGTACACTTGAACCACCAACCTTATAGGTAGCAACTGAACACGTTAACATTAGCCATTAGTGAAACGTCTGTTAAAATCATGTTAGAATCCACTGCACACCTATTTAAAACCCAAACCCACTGATAGCAGATCAGTTCCAACTTACAGCCCCCGACAGACGGTGTCTGGGATAAAATCTTTTTTTTTTTTTTAAACTCTTTTTTTTTCTTTTTTAACATTTTATTAGGGCTCATACAACTGTTATCCCAATCCATACACACATCAATTGTGTAAAGCGCATTTGTACATCGTTTCTCAAAACATTTTCTCTCCATTTA